TCCTCATAGATCCTCTGGGATAAGGAGGACCACTGCATCTCCGGACTTTGTATATCTTCAAGAAACTGAGTTTGACATAAGTGCCAAAGATCAGATCATGGGAAGACATGAAGAGAAAGATGCGAAAACAGTTCCTTCCTGCTGATTATTTAAGGGACATGTGCCACCGCTTCCATGAGTTGAAACAAAGGGATTGTAGTGTGGAGGACTATTCAAATGAATTCAATAACTTGTTGGTGTCTGTTGATCTCTAAGAAACTAATTATCAACTTACTTCCTGTTATTTATCAGGCCGAACCTCTCAATTCAAGATGAGATTGGGGTGGTGCAGCTCACAAATCTGGAGGATGCCAAACAGCATGCCCTTTGGACTGAAGCTAGAGTCAAAAAGGTTAGGGTCAAGGAGAGTTCCAGCTGTACGCATAGATGCAGATTCAAATCAGATGTCTTATGGGGCTGCTAGGAACACAAGGATTGAGCTTAATGCTTCCCATTAGGACTTAGGATTAAGGTGCTTCTGGTGGCAGCTGGACAGGGTTCAAGGGTGTTGGAGGTATGGACAGAAGCGAGAAAGAAAAATAAGTTGCCAAACCAGCAACTAGTCGCATAGGTGATGGATCTTCCAAGGATGTTAGCATGCCCTCAATACGTTGTTTTACATGTGGAGAAAGGGGACACACCTCTTATACATGTCCACAGAGTTAATCTTGTTGAAAGAGACGATGAAGAAGAACTTGTGGAACCTGTTTATGATGACTATGAAGGTGAAGAGGAAGAAGTGGATGTGTTTCCTTTCCAGGGTGAGAGTTTGGCGGTGAGAAGGGTGCTAACATCCCCTAAGAGTGAAAAAGAGAAGGATTGGCATCGCCGAAGCTTATTCTGTACACATGTCATTTGTGGCGGAAAGGTGTGCAATCTGATTTTGGATGGAGGGAGCAGTGAAATATCATCATCTCCAAGGATGCTGTAGAAAAGCTAAAGCTGCCAATGGAGAAGCATCCACAACCTTACAAGGTTGCTTGGTTCCAAAACGGTATGGAGTTTCCCATTACTTCACATTGCCTTGTAAATTCAAGGCGCCAAGGCAAGGCTAGGCGACCAAGGGGTGCCTAGGCAATGAAATCAGAAAATAGTAAGCCTTCATGAGCTAGTTACTTGGTTTTATACATTAACCTACAAACCTCTAAACTAAATTTTCTACTTATGATTCTTGTAGTCGTGCTTAAAGCATGCAACACAGAATATTAGAAATAGAAATTCGGACTTAAAAGAACTGAAGAGGGCGTAGCCCCTGTGTTTGACCAAGAAAAGAAAAGGAACTTAAGGAGAAAACAGGGAGGCAGAGCCCTGTTTTAGACCAAAAAAAGAAAAAGAACAAGGGGCTCCACTGCTGTTTTAGACCAAGAAAAACAAGGGAAACACTAAATAAAAGAAGAAATGAAAAGAAGGGGGCAGAGCCCCTGTTTCAGATCACCAGTGAAGAGGAAAAAATGATGAAGAAACTCAGAGAAATGAAGAAGAAAAGGGAGCGGAACCCCTGTTCCAGATTACCATCGAGGAGGACAAAAGTGCATGTAAAAGGGTGAAAAGTTTGCAGGAAAATGAAGAAGAAACGAAGGGGGTGGAGCCCCTRTTTGATTCCAAAAAAAATCATGCAAAAAATGTATGGAAAAGACAAAAAAAGGAAGAACCAACAAAAAGGAAGAATAAAAAGGCTGAAAACAAAGAGGGTAGGAGGAAGAATAGGTGGATTGAAAACTGAGAAGAAGATGATTCATTTGAATACCTGGCATATTCGAAGTTGTTTAGACTTCTAGTTGGTTATGCAGCATTGCAGCAACAGTTGGAGTTGGACTGTGTGTGAAACATACCTGACCAGACAGCTCTCCCTCTTCTTTTCAGTTCTGCCAAGAAAATAAAACCCTAAAAAGACAGCACTCTTCTTCTAATAAAAAGAGTGATAATGTGTGATAGGTTCTATTGTAATAACAAAAACTAACCAATAAAAACTATTTGCAGCAAAAGAAAAGTAAAAAACAATATAAAAATATAAAAGGACCAATGTATTAAGGGATGTATTAATGTGTCTTCCATCTAGTCAAGGCGTGCACCTTGGAGTTGAGTGCCTGCCTAGTCGCCTAGGCGTGCACCTTATACAAACTTTGCATGGCGTCTGGGCGAGGCAAAGTTTGAAAACCGCCTATTCGCCTAGGTGTCGCCTTGACAACTATGGTTTTACTTTTGGTGATACATATGATGATGAAGATTGGTGTAATGTGGCTCCTATGGATGTCAGTCATATACTTTTTTGAAGACCTTGGCTATATGATCACAAAATGGTGCATCTTACAGATGCCAATACTTACACCTACCAGAAGGATGGGAAGAAGATCACTCTGCTTCCTATGAAGGAGGAAGCCACAAATCCTTCTAGGGACAGCAAGGTTGCAGGTTACCTTTCAGCCTGTAAATTCGAGGAGGAATGCAAGAAGTCAAATGTGGTGGCTGATGCTTTAAGCCAAAGATCTGTTCTATTGTCAAGTTTCAAGAATTGAGAACACAATACAGCAACAATTGTTTTTTTTTCAGCCACATATTGAAGGAATTGGATAACCCAACCAGCCAGAAGGATTGTCCATTTGTTATGATTGAAGGTTATCTATTTAAGGGAAATCAATTATGTATTCCCAAAGGGTCACTATGGGAACAAATCATGAGAGAAATGCATGTAGGAGGGTTAGGAGGTCATTTCGGTAGAGATACAGCTATGGCTATGGTGGTTGACTGCTATTTCTGGCCTCATATGTACCAAGACATGGACAAATTAGTGAGGCATTGCAGAGCTTGTCAATTGGCTGAGGGGCAATCGAAAAATACAGATCTGTACATGCCATTACCAGTGCCAGAATCACCAATGGGTACATACTAAGCATGGACTCTGTGTTAGGATTGCAGAAGACAGCAAGGGGACATGACTCAGTTTTTGTTGTGGTTGATCAATTTTCAAAGACGGCACACTTTACCCATGTTCTAAGATAGCCGATGCTACTCATGTAGGAGATTTGTTCTTCAAAGAAGTGCGATTGCATGGGATGCCAACATCTATAGTTTCCAACCGTGATGTGAAGTTTGTTCGTCACTTTTGGAGATCACTTTGGAGGCATTTGGGGACCCAACTGAAATATTCCAGCACATGCCATCCCCAAATTGATGGGCAAACAAATCTAAGCTACTCTAGTTAAAATTCTTCTGACTTGGGTATCACATTTGAAGAACATGTTAGGCTATATTTTGATAAGCAGGCAACAATAAACACAGCACAGATTCCAATTCAGCTTAATAGGTCAAGCACATAAAAGTAGCCCAACACTTTAAAAGTGAAGAAAGAGAAATTAGGTTATGCGTGTGTCTGCCTTTTATTAAGTCCAAATTTAAATTTGTCAGTATTCTCACAAAAGGAATTGTAAATCCAAATTTGTTGATCTTCTAGTCAAGTGAGGCATGATTAACATGTTTGGTCTTGAAAGTATTTTGTAATTTTCATCTTATTAAATAATACACTAATGTGAGGGCCAACTGCCCAGGTTTTGTTTTTTGGCTCTCACGGTTTTCTCATCTCAAGTCTTATTTCATATTCTACAAATTTCAAGAACAAAGATGAAAATAGGAAGCAAATGAGGCAAAAACTCCCCCCTCAAGGCTTATTGAAGCTGAACTTTGATGGGAGTAGCTAGGGCAACCCAGGGCCTTCTAGGTGAGGAGGTGTTTTGAGAAACGAGGCTGGAGAGGTTATCTTTCTCTACTCTGGCCCAATGGACGTTGGGAATTCTAATTCTGTTAGAGCAGAATTGCTAGCTGACATACAAGGAGTACTTGCAAAGAATTGGATGGTTGAAGGGGACTCAAGGTAGTGCTGGAGTGGTTAAATAATCTGGAGGATGTTGTGTGGGGTTACAAGAATGACCTAAAGAAATTCAAATGGATGACAAGGAATATGTCTGTTTCAATATTGTGGGTGGCGATATCAGCTAATGCCCAATTTTTTAAAACGCGGAAGCATAACGCAAGATGTTCCACTACCTAGAGGTGTGAGGCATAGTTCAGAATGTAAGAGGCATAAGCCTCCCAAACACAAGGAGGCGTAAGCCTCCTTAAGAGGTGGGGGAGGAGGAGGAAGGGAAGGAGGAAGAAGAGGAAGGAGGATCTCATTTTTCTTTATTTTTAATAAAAATCTTTTATATTAAGAAGAATGAAGATGCATAGCACTAGTTGAAAGAAAGAGCGGCATCTCGCGCCTTCCCAAGGGACTGACAATAGTTTCAAATAGGGAAACATTGTTTTGGGCTCAACTGTAATTTTGTATTACCACTCATGTACTTTTTGCTTTAGCTTATGTGTTTTCGGTTTGGAGAGGCAGCATCTCACGCCTTCCCAAGGGACTGTTCTTGTAATCTCTCTTTGATTTAATGGAAATGTGATATTTTATCTATCAAAAAAAAACAAATGAGTCAAAAATTGGACCCGTGTGCTATTGTACCACAAGTAGCAAAGAAAACCAATAAGTTTTATTGATACAAAAACTATTGACAGGGTACTACTCCAATTGTAGAGATTTTTCCAATATAAAGAGAGAGAAGACAAATTCTGATTCTTTTGCCAGAGGGTGACAGAGCATTCACCTAAGTTTTCTCTACCCACTACACAAGAAAACTCTTTCAAGAGTCCAAAACTGAAACCATAAGAAAAATATTCAATGGCAAGACTTACGAGAAGAGAAGAAAGAAAGAAAAAAATACAATAAGGGAAAAAAAGAAAGAGAATCAATTCATCCAACCTACAGGTTGATCACCTCTATTTTACTTTAGTATTAGGTTATAGTACAAGTTTTAACCTTCTAGGTTGACCTGCATTAATTAATAAACAACATAGCTGACATCTGTAACCTAATAACTATTAGATTCTAACAAAGAACGAAGTAAATAACAAGGAAAGGCACACACCTTTCCCTCAAATAGTGATGCATCATACAACCTCTCTGAACAAAGATTGTACACTTTGTATCTTCCCTGCAAACAGAAGCGTGGAAATGATATCAAGTTCATTCAACTGATAATATATAATACAAATTACAGAATTACTTGCATGATATATTTAATGACCTAAAGTGCAATGCCATCAACAGCAAAAGCCAGAACCATGCTCCAAATAGAAAAGACAGGGTCTTTGCAAATAAGCAAACTTAGTACACCTTTGAGCAGACAATTAACTGGGTAAATCAATATAAAAAAAAAAACACGAAAACCACAGTAGAGAAGAAACAAGAAGTGCTTCCCCTTTTTGAAAATAGATATTTTCTTAGATCAACCAGAAAATGGAACAGGCCTGAGGAACCAAAAAGGAATAGCTGACCAAATACAATGGGAAAATGTAAGAAGAGAGGAATAGCTGGCCAAATACAATGGGAAACTGTAAGAAGAGAAGCCAAGTAAAAAAATATATCATGTATACCCCGACTAAATCCCAAAGAAAGTAAGAAAAAGTAACAGTTGAAGGATGAGTTCATCTTGACACTGAAGGAAATCCTAGAAACAATTACTCCACTCTTCATCACCAGTATTTTTTTTTGGGATGGGGTGATTAATGGAATAAAAAATTGATCAATAAAAGAGAAAAGAAAGCAGAGGTTGTAAGCTTCCTCATCCTACTTTTTCTTATTAGTCCTCCCACATCTTAGTTTGTAGAGTTAGAAACTTTAACACCACATTATCATTTTCATTTCCATATTATGTTTCTTTATTCCTCATGTCAATTGTTAGTTTGTTACTTTGTCAAGCTTGCAATGACTTCACCATTTGAAAAAGAAAATTTTCTTTTCTAAAAAGGGAAACTGAAAGAAAGATGGATAAATTGTCTTTCCATAAATAAAGGATCTAACCCATTCCCTACCCCCCCCCTGTTCGGTTTCATATTGGAATTATGCCTTAGTCACTCGCCACCTTCTTTTTCAAAATTGGTTCATTCCCTATGATGATGATAATGTAAAACATTAAAACCCTTAGATTGTACAGAAAAGTTTGTAAATTACCAATCTTTTAAATAATAAACAGAAACAATAGGCCAGAGGCCATAATTCAAAGGGTATTTTGTCTCAGGGACATTATACTGCAATGCGAATATCCAGATATTGGTGTAACTGAGTTACTTCTATCAAATGGCATGAAAATATGCTACAAGTGCAGACTTCCTTGATGGAAGTGAGGAAAACCGGTGATGTGCAACTCTCAGAAGGATCCACCCAATGGCTTTACTCCGGCAACAAAGTGGAGAAAGGAGGTGACAGTGGAAAAGAAAAAATTTCTGTTTGAGGATGCGAATGGAGGCTCCGCGGTAAAAATTAGAGAGAACAGGCAATCTATGGTGATTATGATCAAAGAATCTTTGGACTGGCTTAAAGGATTCATTGATGGGCGAGCGATATGAGTATGGAAGAGAGAAGATAGTCTGCAATGGTAAAAAGCAACAACAGGGGTTCTTTAATCTTTTGTTGACGGAAACTTTTGGAAAAAAAACGAAGCCAAATAATTGTATCCCAGAGGGTAGGGGAAAACAAGGCTGAGTCAAGATTACATAGGCATTAGAGGACTTGGCACAGAGGAGGTGACAGAACAAGAGAGGTATGGAGGCATCGACTAAGCAAAATTCCAAGTTGGTTGAGGGGCAAGTTGGAAGGAAAAAAGAAGATATTGAGGAGGAAATAGGTGTAGTGTTTTGACCTCACCAAAAATAATGGAGGGTACAATGGAAGATTGGAGGAAGAGATGGGTAGTTACTGCAGAAAAGAAAATAGTGGATTGGAAAGGAATCTGGGTGGATCTCTCAACTGTTTTCCAATGTGAGAACTCACCCTGGCCAATGCCATTTGATGAGAAGATAGCTATTGCCAACTTCAGTGGAGGCACTATCGAAACAACAAATATTATGACCAAAAGAGGGCTGGATGCTGATCAAAAGCTGGAATCCATCCTATAATGAAAAAGGAGCTGGAAGGAGGAAGATCTGATATCAGAATTTTCGGGCTCCCCTTCAACCTGTGGAAGATCCAAGTTATGGATAAAGTAGCAGCAGTCTATGGAGGCGTTTTAGATGCTTTTAACTTCCCTGACCTCTGTGCTGTGAGGGTGAGGATTATGGGAGCAAAACCGGATTTAATCCCATGTGCTTTGGACTTGTTTACCAAAGGCAGATGGAGAAAACTTTGGATTGCATCGGAAGCTGAAGTGCTTCTTCGGGGAGCAGAAGAGGAGCTAGAGTCATTTGCGGAGATTTTAGGGTGTGAAAGAGGGGAGTGGCCGTTGAAATATTTAGGTTTACCCCTTGGTGGCAACCCAAGGTCAATAAGCTTTTGGAATCCAATAGTTGAGAGAATTGAGAAAAGATTAAATGGATGGAAAAGAAGGTACGATTCTTTAGGGGGAGAATCACTTTGATAAAATCAACCTTGGCTAATCTCCCTATGTACTTCATGTTTGCTTTTAGGATGCCTCAAGCAATTGTGAATAGGGTGGAAAAACCGATGAGAGACATTTTGTGGGAACTAGGAGATAGTAAAAAGGATTATTTGGTGAATTGGGAAAAGGTGGTGAAAAGGAAAGAAGAGGGTGGGTTGGGTCTAGGTAACATTTGTAAGTAAAACCTTGCTCTTCTATGTAAGTACTTGTGGCGCTTCCCCTTAGAGAATGACAGGTTGTGGCATAAAGTGGTTTCAAGTATTCATGGGCTTGCTAGGAATGGATGGGATGCCAGTGTTCTGCAAAGAGCTAATCTTGTAGCACCGTGGAAAGCAGTGCATGGTATTCTTTCTCAATTCCTTGAGCATATCAAGTATGATCTGGCTTCTAGTAATAGGATAAGATTCTAGGAAGATGTGTGGATTGGAGATAGTCCCTTGAAAGATATGTTTCCCTCTCTATATGTTCTCTCCAAGGTTTAAATTATCAATATGCACCTGTATATCGGCATGGGCATATCGGTACTTAAAATGACACGCTTTTATATTTTTTTTTGTTTTTTTTTCAAATTTTGGTTTTTGGGCCTATTTTTAACTATATTTTTTATTAAACAGAGGCTGGTTCCCRAAAGACCTGTAAATATGCATATCGTGAAGCCACCGATACGATACACTCAATACTGGGCATACCGTATCGAAATTTTGAAGCTTGGTTCTCTTTAATCTCAAGGAGAAACTTGTGTTTGATTTCTTTGGGTCTCCCCTCCTCCCCTAGGGAGGGTTGGAATTTGGGGTTAGTGAGAAACCTTAAAGAGTCAAAAATTCTCTTTATTTTATCAATTTTTTTTCTCATCAGTGTAACCTGTTAAATAGTCCGGGTGGTCGTGTCCTTGATGATATAGGGGATGACAATAGGGTTTGGTCTCTCAGTCCCTCGGGTCATTTACCTATAAATCCTTTTTCTCTTCCCTTGTGTCCACTTCCCTTCCCCATTCCTTTCATATGAAAGAAGTTCGGTGTGCCCCTATCCCCCAAAAATGAGTGCCTTTTGTTAGGGAGTTTATCGCGGGTGCATCAACATGTGTGATATGCTGCAAAAGAAAAGGCCAAATTGATGCTTGTCTCTTAATTGGTATATTTTGTGTAAGTTGAATGGTGAGAATGTTTTCCATATTTTAATCTCTTGTCCCTTTGCTGGTTGTATTTGGGAATGGTTCTGCTCTCTTTTTGGTTGCAGGTGGATCCCTCTTGTCAGCTTGGAAGGGCTCTTTAGCCCATCTTTTCTGAGGAGAACAAAGAGAAGAGGTAGAATCTTATGGAAGTGTGCAAGGGCAGCAGTGGTGTGGTCAGTTTAGGAGGAAAGGAGCCTAAGAATCTTTGAGGAGAGAAAGAAATAAGGAGGCAATATGGGAGAGTGTTACCGTAAGAACTGCACATTGCGTGAAAACGTTGAAATTATTCTCAGATTTCTCAATGGGAGACATTTTCCAAAACTGGAGGTCAATTGCCCTTTTCTTCTTCTAGGAAACAAAAGACCCTAGAGGCTTGGTGTCCCCCAAGTGGCAGGTAGACTATGCTGAACTTTGATGGAAGTAGTTTTGGCAATCCAGGGCCTTCTGGAATTGGTGGAGTGTTTAGAGATGGGAGTGGGAATATTTGTGGTTTGTTTTCAGGTCCTATCAATCAAGGTGATTCAGTGAGAGCTGAATTCATGGATGCTATTGTTGGGATGCAAAAGGCTAAGGTTCTGGGAATTACAAGGCTGATTGTTGAAGGGTCAAGGGGATTCAAAAATAGTCATTGGTTGGTTGAAAAAAGGAGAAGGGTTAGGAGGTCCTGCTAATGGTTTGGCGGATGGATTAGCTAAGCAAGGAGTTCATAGACATCATTTGTTTTGGGCTCAAATGTTAATTGTATGGGGGGTTCTTTGTTGTAAAGGGTCTTTATCCTAAACAACTCCTTGTTGTACTCTATTTTCTTTAATCCTAATAAAATGTCTTGAGTTGCTGATCAAAAAATAAATAAATTCGAAAGGTCAATTCCAGCTTTTACAATCCTTGCTTATTAGTTGACACTCCTACAGAATGTCCAAGAAATGGCTAAAGGTTTAATAATTAAAACATGTTAGCTTCTACTTCTGAATTAGATCTTTGGAAGAATTTGAGATAATCTTCTTTATGTGAAAGTAACGAGAATATGGATAACATTTAATAATCTTCAGAGCTGTGAAGATCAGAAGCTTGAAATATGTATTGTAACACATGAAGAGTAATTCTTGTGGAGCTTACATGTGTTTTGAAAAATGTACATGTTATGGTGGGACAGATATTCAAAAGGGCCCACAAAATCCTTCATGCTTCATGCAGGTCTCACTTCAAGTCTGTCGTTGCTTGTAATATAATCATGTGTGTGGTTATGATAGTTCTTGTGGAGCCAACATCTGTCTCAGATTAGGGTTAAAAGAGTTGTATCATGCATTCCCTTTTATCATATCTGGACTCCTATAATGTTAAACATGGCATCTACGATCTGACTCAAGAATCTAAGCCAAAGACTCAT